CATATCACTCCTCCTGCAGCGCCCCCCATCCTTCCCCTCTCCGACCCTGGGGGGGGGGAGAGAGGCCCGCCGCCGCCTAGGTGCGAGCCGCCGAGCCTCAGCACGGCCCCCGCCGCGAGCACACGGCCCTCGCCTGGTGGAGGAGGAGGAGGGAGAGGAGGAGGAAAAACGCGACGAGGAGGGCGCAACGGCTTACTCCGGCCTGCTTTTGTCCAACGCAGAAAGGAGGAAGAGGAACAGGAGGAGGAGGAGGAGGAGGAGGAGGAGAACGATGACGATGAGGACAAGGCGAGCTGTGCACCCATAGGTCTTTTCGACTTGGCCACGTTCAGGGCCATGCGGACCACCCATGGAACATTTTTGGTGACCACACCGAGGCTAACCTGATGCAGGGTTTGATCACCCCCAGCTCGGTCCCTGAGACATGAAAGCGTGCTACCACCTACCGTTCTGCGCGTCAGTGGGAGTGGCTTCAGTCTGCCGATGATGCCAATAAGTCGATCCGTACTCACTACTCATTACTGACTCCTGACTACTCCCTCCTCACTAACCACTACTCACAACGCCCTAGTCGCTACTCGCTGCTCACTACTCGCCACTCCCTACTCGCTACTTCCTACTCGCTACTCGCTACTCACCACTCGCTACTCACTACTCTGTGCTCACTGCGCACTACTCACTACTCACTACTCACTCTTCGCTATTCGCTACTGTATACTCCCTCATCCCTACTCCCTGCTTACTACTCACTATGCACTACTCACTACACACTACTCACTCCTCACTACTCCAATTCCTTACTCACTACTTCCTTCCCACTACGCACTACCCACTACTCACTACTCACTACTCACTAATTTCTACGCGCTACTCACTACTACCACTACCCATTACCCACTACTCACTACTCACCACTCACGACCCACTGCGCACGACTCACTATCAAATACCCACCACTCACTAATCGCTACTCCAAACACTCTTTTCTCTACTCACTACCCGAGAGGCCCCCTTCCCAGCCCCCTGTTCGGCGCAAAAGGGGGGAAAGGGGGGGGGGGTCGACCCCCCGCCCCCCTTTCCAGCGCCAAGGGGGGGGGGTCGAAAATCTCACCCCCCCTTTGAAGGGGGGGGGGTTCTGCGAGCCCCCCCCCCCCTTGGTGTACTCTGGGCCATCCACTGGCGCGCCTTTTCATCATCATCATCATCATCATCATCATCATCACCATCATCATCATCATCCTCATCCTCATCCTCATCCCCATCCTCATCCTCATCCTCATCCCCATCCTCATCCTCATCCTCATCCTCATCCTCATCCTCATCCTAATCCTCATCCTCATCCTCATCCTCATCCTCATCCTCATCATCTTCATCATCATCGTCATCATCATCATCGCCGTCATCATCATCATGATCCCCCCCGCGCTCTGTTTCTCGGTTTTCTAATGTCTGATGCCAGCGCCGTCTGGAGTCTGACTGCACACGAGCGTGGGTAAGCAGAGGCACGGCGGCGCACACTTCACCCGATATGAAGGAATGAAAACTGGCTTGGGTCAGGCCACGGGGAGCCGAAAAACTAATTACGAGCGCGCATAGATCATTCACGTAGAACTCACATGATCCCCCCCGCGCTCTGTTTCTCAGTTTTCTAGTGTCTGATGCCAGCGCCGTCTGGAGTCTGACTGCACACGAGCGCGGGTAAGCAGAGGCACGGCGGCGCACAATTCACCCATATTACCCATAACATGATGTGTCATCTACTTTGCTGTGTTGGGAGGAGTAGCTACACGCTTCGCGCGGGCACTGAACGAAAGCGGCGGCGGCTGCACCGCGCGGCCTCTAAGGATCGAGTCCTTCAGCGTGTCCACCTGCTCCTCCAACCAGCAGCGCAGCGCCAGGGGAAGCAGAGCGTAGTCTTTCATCAGCATGCCTGACTTCTCGTAGCGCCGCACACTTTTGGTGGACATCCAACCACCGCGACGTTGCACTTCGCACAGGTTGCGATGCTTTATATATATATATATATATATATCCCAGGAAGCGCCCGCATGGCGCAACTGGTAAGGCACAATGTCTTGGCCGAGCAGCCGGCCTTGCTTGCGGATTTCGCGCACTAGCTCTGGATAGGTAAACTGCCACAGGCTCTCATTTCGTCCTCCGACGGCTAGAATCTGAAGAACTTCGCCCATCCATTCAAAACCATGAGTGTCCCACAAGATGGTGTCGTCCTGGGTCCCCACCTTCGAGACCTGGTGGAGGTCTGAGCTGTGTGCGAGCACGCGCCACATCGCGTCGACTTTCATGGTAGGCGGGACCAGAGAGCCCCTGGTGAGCTGCATCATAGAGCCTGGGCGCAAGTAGGTGCAGAAAGCGATGATCACCCAGATGCCCATGTCCAGGTGCCCCGCGAAGGCGAGCATCGCGGCCAACCCTGCGACCGTCGGCAGGGTCAAGGGCTGTCGGCTGCGCGGCGGGCCCAGCTTGGCCCAGCCCCGGGCAGCCCGCCAGGCTCGCGGATCAGCTTCCGCGATCAGCTTGTGGCCGATGCCCGCGTCGTAGCCCAGCATATACATGTGGGTCATGAAGGCGACGATGGCCACGTCGAAGTCCTGCACCTTGTCGGTGTTCAGCTTGCGCTCGTCGACGTAGTCCACCAGGCCTCGATCTAGCTTTCGATATTGCGCCCAGGTTCGCTCTCCTACCGAGCTTCGTTCTAGCACCGAAACGTGTTGCATACCTGGCTCCTTTGCCATCTTCGCATGGTCGGTCTTGCGCTTCAGCACGCGATCCTGCGCGAGCGGGCTGCCATCCTCCTCCGAGGTCGTGCCGTCCGAATCTTCCAGACGGCTGGCGCCCCTCTCCGCCTCCTCCAGCAGCACGGGCATGGGGGGGCGATCGCGTCGCTGTTGTAAAGTAGCCTGCCACCTCTTCTCTAGTGGCAGCGGGTCCGTCCGACGAAGAAGCGCGCGAACTTCCCTCTCCTCCGTCGGCGCTGCTCTCTTCGCCTTCCTCACCAAGGACATGTCGAGCCCAATGAAATACAGAAGTAGAGCATTGTGGGACTTCATCCTTGGCCAAAACGGCTACAGAGCCCTGCCGGTCTCGAGCGAGACGGTGTATCTCAGGAGTGACGCTCAACTCGACCGTGTCCCCACGTTGCAGACCGGGGCCCCTTGAAGGTTTGTCGGAGCTGTTGAACTCACTCGGGGCCCACCTGAACCCCGCGAAGAAGTTTCGCGACAGCGCCAGCGCCGACGCCCGCCGAACCTGGACCAGCAGAGGAAAAGCACGGGCCCTGGATCTCGCAAAGCTGAGCGTGACACCGAGGTTATCCCCAAGAGCCAGAAGACGACAACTATGAACTCCAGGTTCCAGAACAACATTAGCGATCCCAAGGACTCCAGCTCTGGCTTCCCCCTCATGTACAGTCATCTTTCTCCTCCAGGAATGGCAGAAAAGCACCTCCCAGTCTTTCCCCACAAGCCCCTCGAGCGGAACCTCGGGAAACGAAAAGTCTTGCTCCCGAAGCTCCGAGACGCCCTCGAAAGACGGCGGCGGCGTCACAAACACCAGGGGGCCATCAGGGCCGAGGCAAGAAAGCGCATGCCCACGAGCCTGCGCAGCATCACGACGAACAAATCTAGCTCTCTCTTGGACTCTCCCCTGAGCGGCCGCCCAGGCAGGATACCTAGTTGCAACGCAAGCCCCAGCGCCCACAGGACAGGAGTCATACGTTAGCACTTCCCGAAGCCAGCAGCGGGACCAGTCCGAGCGAATAAGGGGCATGAGGTAAAGGAACGACTCGAGCTCCTCACGCGCTGTTGGCCACAATGAAGCCCACGAGTGTCGGCACCTCCGAGCGAACTTGTAGACCGAGGCGAAGCAGGAGAGGAGAGGGCGCTGAAGCATAGCGAGGTAGGTGCAGTGGCCCAGAAGAACCTCGAGGGCTTTTCCAGTTACCTTGGGCGCCTCCAAGAAAGCCTCCAGAATCAAACGAATCTTCCAGCATCGCTTCCCCGCAGGCCTGGAACACTTTAGCTCTCCGTTGAACTCCATCCCAAGAGCGTCCCGAACCTGGCCAGCCCCCTGGACTTCGTGGCACTGCATTTTGTTAGCGTTAAGAACGTTTTTGATGTTATCTAGCGACTTCTGGACCTCTATCTTGTCAGCTCCCAAGACCCCCACGTTGTCCACATGCACGTAAAAGACGGGCGCGGAGTCTTTACCTATGATGAGCCCGCCCCCCCTGTCCTCCACTGCCACGGAGCCTTCCATCCCAGAGGCCTCCCGAACCAGGCGAGCACTGATGCGCTGGGCCCAGGAGACCGACCAAGAGAGGCCCATGAGGAGCACGGCCATGGCGGCCCACACAAGCCCGTCACCAGGAACCTCCCATCCCCGAACATGCGCCAGACCTAGCTCTCGTGCTCGAACAGGGGGCAGGCAAAAATAATCGCCCAAGTCGCTGTCTATACCGATTCTGTGGAAGCAGCTGTCCACGTCAAGAGGCGCCCCATAAAGCTCAACGCCTCCCTCCACCTCCAAGCGGGCGAAACTCTCGGGCGTGGCCAGCAAAGTACTAGGAGGATCTCGGAAAAGCTGGTTAGTGCGTCTCGCATCGATGATAAGCCGCTGTCTTCCATCCTTTTTTTGGAACAAAGAACGGGGTAGCGGTCTCTCTGGGCGTAGTCGACCACCTGCTCAGACCACGACTGTGCAACATCTTCAGAACGCGAACGTACTCATACCGTCGAATGCGAAGCTTCTGGTCAAAATACGGGCTAATATACTCGCCGTAGTCTCTCATTTGCATCGCTTCCTTCACATCTCTCATCACGCTCTCCCTAAAGTTCACCACCGCCTCCCTGTCCTCCTGAGAAACCAAGTCCTGAAGCAAATTCCTGTCCTGGACTCCTTCGGGCAGAGAGACGAGGGCTCGATCGAACTCGACGACAGTGGAAGCCGCGTGGCCATCGGTCTTGCCGGCAAGGATGGAGGCCTCACTCATCCTTGCCCTCCTCCTTTTCCTTGCCCTTCCCTGCGGCCTTCCCGCGCTTGAGGGCGACCTTGGCCTCGTCCTTCAGAGCCTTGGCCTTGCTAGTCCGTTTGTCGATCTCAGCCTCCTCTCGCACCTCCTTGGCCACGTAGGTGCGAAGCGCAGGCGCCGCAAGCTGTTGTCGGCGGTTGTAGCCCGAGAACTTATCTGCAATCTCGTGGTTCGGGTTCATCGGGTTCTTACCATGAGCCTCAAGTATGGCCTACCATCCCCACCCAACCTCTCGAAGGCCGCGAGCGAAGCAACGTTAAGCTGATCATAAGAGATAGCCAGTTCAAAAACCTCCGCCATCACCCGCATCTCATGAATAGAGCGATCGTTCTCGCTCCAGCCCGCCGTCTGGAGATGGCGCTCTAGCCAGAACGTGGGCACCGTCGCCAGCTGTGCAAACGACATCATCAGCCACAGGAAAGTGCGAGGACCATCCAAGGGCCAGTCCGAGGAGGCGTCCTCGACCATCTCCTTGACCGAGTCCACCCAGACGCGCTCCCTGCGGTTGAAAGCATTGAACTTCACCGACAGCGTGCGAACGTCCTCGTCCGCCTTCTTGCCAGGCTCCTCACCTGCACCAGGAAGCTGCGGGCCCGCAAGAGCCCCCCGCAGTGCCGGGAGCCCTGTGGGCGAGCCAGGGCCTCCATCACGCTCGTCGGGCGTGTGTGCCACCCAGGCCCGCCGGGAGCAGGGTCTTGCGGCTCGAGGAATAGCCGTCGAGGTCGTCAACCTTGATACGCTCGAGCGCCGCGACGGCCGAGCCGAACTTGGCGAAGCCGCGGTTCCCGAGCCTGCACGCCACGGACTCCGCAGCGACCTGGGTGCCGATCCTTGCCACCTCCTGGTCCCCGTCGAAGACAGGCTCCGACACGACCCAGACCTCGTCACTCTCGGGAGCGGCGGCAAGGTCAGCCTGTCCGTCAGCAGGCTGCGGCAGAGGAGGAGCAGGTCCTCGCGCACCGAGGCGGGGCCGACGGAAGTTCCTGATCGCGAACGCGTCGTCCAGCACTCTCGCGTGCGGAATCTCGTCGAGCCCCTCGTCCACGATGACCTGCAACGCCTCGGCCCTCAGCTCCGAGAACTTGTCCCAGGGCACCGCCTGCGCGAAACGGTAGATGGGCCTCGGTGGCCTCCTCGGCACCGTGCGGCCACTCAGCATCTCAACTCTGATCGGCCCGCGATCTCCAGTAGTTCTCCACTCCTCCGCGTAGACATCGAAGTCCGGCGAAGCCCCAACCCAGATACGTTTGTCATTCAGTGACTTAACCTCCCTCAGCAAAATCCGTTCATGTCCGTATTCGTCCCCTTCGTACCAGTAGATGGCATAGCCCCCTGGCAGAGCCTCCGCGACTCCCGCCATCACTGTTCAACGCGACCGAGCCCTCCACGACGAGGGGCAGCAACACGACGAGGACAGCAAAGCCGAGTGAGTAGACCTCCAACTGCTGCTCCGAGTAGCACTCCCAGGAGGTGATACTGGCAAGGGAAACGCTGGCGTCTGTGGGTGCAACGAAGCACGTCCTGTTGAAAAAGTCGGGCGGCACCTCGCACACGGGCTGACGCTCCAGCGGCAGCGGGCACACACAGTCGGGTACCTTCGGACACTCCGAAGGCCGAGGGCAATCACAGAAGCAGTCTGGGCACTGGTGTCGAGTGGGAAGTGAAGCTAAAGAAGCGAGCTCCCTCGCAAGTCCGACAGCGAGGAGACCGATGCCAACCTCTGGCCTCATGCGTTTGGAGCCGAAAAACTAATTACGAGCGCGCATAGGTCATTCACGTACAACTCACATCATCATCATCATCATCATCATCATCATCATCATCATCATCATCATCATCATCATCATCATCATCATCATCATCATCATCATCATCGTCATCGTCATCGTCATCGTCATCATCATCATCATCATCATCATCATCATCATCATCATCATCATCATCATCATCATCATCATCATCATCATCATCATCATCATCATCATCATCATCATCATCATCATCATCATCATCATCATCATCATCATCATCATCATCATCATCATCATCATCATCATCATCATCATCTTCGTCATCATGTTGCCGGGGGGCGATCGAGCCCTCCGTGAAGATGGCCATTGAGGGCCCTGGAAAGGCCCCTAAACCTGCCACCGTGGCCCCGTGGCACCGCGGCCCCAAAACGTGCCGACGAGGTGTGCCTCCCTCCCCCCCCTTTTGTTCCTCCCCCCATCCCACTCGCCGCCCGCCCAACGCCTGCGGCCGACCTGCTGACGACGAGACCCGGCCAGACAACCACTGCGAGGCGAAGGCTGCACAGAGTTCCGCCCCCCGATGCCACCCCTCTGCCTCGTCTGCCTCTGCCGCTCGAGGCCTCCGGCGTCGCGACTGCGCTCCGGGCGCGCGCCCCCGGAGAGCCGTCGGCCCGGGGGGGGGAGGGCCGGCGCCTCGGATCCGGGGCCGCCGCGCGAGGTCGCCTCTGCCTTCTGTGCCTCTGCCTGCCTCCCTTCTGTCCTGTCCCCTGGCCCCTGCCTGCCGCGCGCGCCTGGGCAGATGCGCTTCACCTCCTCCGTCGGGGCTGCCACGAGGATCTTCTGCTCCTTGTGCGCCTGCGTCCCCCCCGCCCCCCCCCCTGGTGGAGAGGAGCTCTTTCCGCCTCTCTGTCCCTCCCTCTGTTCTCCTCCTCCCCCCCTCTTCCTACGCGCCGCTCGTCTTCCTCTGCGCATCCTCTATATTCCGTACCCACATGCTCGACGACCTCATCAAAACAACGTACCTGCATTATCCTTCCCATGCTCTTCCTTGTCCTCGCGTTTTCTTATACCCCTTCTCCTCCGTACTCATCCCGCCTCTCCTCTTCTTCCTCCATGTTATTATCATTTTCTCCTCGTCTCCATCCATTCTCATCCTCATCCGTGTTCCTCCTCCTCCTCATCCTCATCCCTCCTCCTCCACCCCACTTCTTTATATAGAACTCCTACCTGTTGCACCACCAAGCGTGTCCCTAGGCTGGGCAGGGCGTCTCGCTTGAGGCTGCGTTGCGACTTGCTATCCTGGAGCCTAAAACTTTTCCGACAGTGACACGGATGGAAAGCGGGGTCTTTTTGAAAATGCGGCTCTTGATTTCGCACATGTATCTGAGATATTGGAACAGCTACGCAGATGGAGGGCGGATATGTTCGAACTTGCGCCTCTTCTCCGCGCACATGATTCTTTACAAGCTTGCGACAGCTACACGGATGGAGGCCGTCTCGTCCTCAGAATGGGTCTCTCGCCAAAAGATTCTTACGAACAACAGCACCACAAGTGAAAGCATGTGGTACAGCTATACGGATGCAGGGCAGGTTCTTTTCAAAATGGGGCTCCCCCCTCAGCGCCGATCGCACTCGTCTTGAAATTTGACGACAGCTACACGGATGGAAGCTTACTGGTTGTCAAAATGTAGCTTTCACAGGATAACTCCTGCAAGCAACATCACAACAACTGTACAGTTGTGTACATCGAGGGCGGGCCGTTTCCACAGTGGCACCCGCCTGCAATCTCCGCAAACTGATAGGCCAGAAGCCTCAACATATGTAACATCTGCACAGATGAAAGGCTGCGCCTTCTCAAAATGGAGTTTTCGCGTGAGACGTCCTCAACCTTAGTGGCCCAGAAGCACAAACTTGTGCACGGGTAGATGGCGATTCCGTTTCAAAACGGAGCTCGCGGTGAAACCTCCGTTGAACATCATGACCCTACCTTGTCGCACTCTTACTATTCGCTAGAAAGAAGTGGTGCAAGGCAATTCCTTTTCAATCGCCTGAGTGGCAGGCACATCGGGTGTTCAAAACGCATTCATTGCATTGAAAAAGAAGGCTTATAGAGCTTCACGGGGAGGGAACTTGAGGCGGGACGCTGTACCACCGCATCGTCGCATCGTCGGTACGTTTTGTGTTTACTGTTGTCCTCCACCTCCTCCTCCCTCGTCTCCCCCTTCTTCCCTCCTCATCCTCCCCCCTCTTCCCCCCTCCGCACCATCCCAAGGACAGAGGGGGATGATGTAGGTGGGGGAAGGACGGGGAGGAGGAGGAGGAGGAGGAGGAGGAGGAGGAGGAGGAGGAAGAGGAGGAGGAGCAGGAGGAGCAGGAGCAGGAGGAGGAAGAGGAGGAGCAGGCAGGGAAAAGGGTCGGGGGGAAGGAGAGGAGGGGGAGGAAACGGAGGAGAGAGGAAGGAGGTAAGGGCAGGAGAAGGAGGAGGGGGAACGGGGGGGAAGGAAGGACGGCGAGGAGGGACGGGGGAAGGAGTGGAGGAGGAAGGGAGGGAGGAGGGGGAGGAGGAGGAGGAGGAGGAGGAGGAGGAGGAGGAGGAGAGGAGGAGGACGAGGAGGAGGAGGAGGAGGGGGGGAGGGCATGAAGCATGAGGGAGGGGAGAAGGAGGAGCAGGAGGAGGAGGAGGAGGAGGAGGAGGAGGAGGAGGAGGAGGAAGAGGAGGAGGAGGAGGCGGAGAAGGGCAGGGGCGGGGAAAGGGCAGGGCCGAGGAGCCGCGGAAGAGTGGAGGCGGGAGGGCCCGAGGCCTCCGCCACCGAGTCGTGCAGCCTCCGCCGGACCTCCGCGTCCGCGAACCACAGCTCGTCGCCTGCGCCGGGGCGCCGCCCGCCGCGAGCGCCCCGCGGAGGCCCCAGGCCGCCGCCCGGGCTCCACCCGCCCTCGGGCTGCTGCTCACCGCTGCGGCTTCGGTGGCAACTCATGGACTGTTGGCAGGTGGACCTCTGAAGCTCTCCGCCGCCCCTGGCGGTGTGCGTTGCGAGCAGGAGCGCAGCAAAGCCACAGGCCGCTGCGCTGTCCATGCCGCGCTTTCCTGTGGCTCTGCCGCGTTCCTGCTCGCAACGCACACCGCGAGAGGCGGCGGAGAGCTTGAGAGGTCCTGCTGCCAAAAAAAGCCCGGGCTGCTGCTCACCGCTTCGGTGGCAACTAATGGGAGCCTCGCAGACCATTTGCGCGAATCGGCGCTAGCCGACGCTGAGTCGACGCTAGTCGACGCTAACTCGACGCCAGCCGACGCTGAACCGGCGCTACTCTCATCGACTCCCAGAGGCGAGTCGACGCTGATGGGCGCCAATGGCGGGGCTAAAAGGGTACATTGGGGGCCCGGCCACAAGAAACCCTCCACAAGAAACCCAGCCCTGAGACCCCAGCACGTCCACCGACTTTTGGTGTGGGAGCGTCACGCTTCCCATCGCGAAGCCATCGAGACCCAAGAAGCCCAGGGCACCTTGGAGGCAAGCAAGGCGCTTCTTGGCCTGGGCCCCCGCTGTATATTATACAGGCCGGGGTCCAGCATTGGGCTCCTCGCCTTCGCCCCGCGAATGGTTCCTGGGCCGTGGCCCAGGGGCCGTCCCAAAGGAGGGCGGCCCTGTGCGGCGCGAGAGGCGCGCCGCCCGCGAGGCGCGGCGGAGACGCGCTCGAGGAGCTTCTCCCGCGGGGAGGCACGCTTTTCGCCGCGGCCGCAGGCGAGCGCGCCCGCAGCGTCAAGGGTCGGGCGGGCTACGCGCGAACCGAATTGCCTAGCGCGCACAGGGAGACACACACACACACAAGTGCACACATTTTCCAAGATGCTCCAAATGGTCGCGCCTTTCCTGCCTGCTCCTCTTCCCCTCCATGTCCCCCTACAGCCAGCTCAACCCGTACCAAATTGGCGCACGACAGAGAGGATGCCGGGGCCTTGGAAGGCCGCGCCGGCACTCTGCGAGCGGGGCGCGGCCAGCGAAAGCGGCCACGGGTGGGCCGAAGGGGAAGGATGCACAGGGGAAACCTTGGAAAAGTGCTCACCCTCACTGTACGGGTTGCCTAGATGTTTTTACGTTCACGCGGGAGGCTGCCCTCGCGCGCAAGTTGGCACCTCCCGAGCTCCCGCGGCGTCGCGCACCACCGGCGCCCAGATCTCCGACGATGTCCACGGCCTGTTCACTCCCGGCGCCCTTCTCCTCGGCCGCGGCCCCCGGCGGCCCGTCACCGGGCCCCGGGGCCAGCAAAAATGCGGGCGTCGCTCAATGGGGGGGGGGGAGGGCGATGCAAAGGGGGCAGAGACAGGTGCACCTTTCGGGCCCTGCAGCCCCCCTTCGGGGCCCTGACGGGCCCCCCTTCGGGGCCCTGCCGGGCCCCTTCTCTGCCGCCCTCCCTGCCCCCCCCCTCCCAGTTGTCGCCCCCCGTTGCAGAACAAGACGAGGCAGGACCAGAGCCCGCGTCAAGGAACCCCCTCAATATGCTGGTTAACTGCATGGGTCCGGAGTGACGAACTGCACGCCCATGATAGGGAAACGAGCTCTATACACCGACGCTTTTTCCGACCCTGCGATGAAATTCGCACAGGAACGCGGATCCTGGTGTATGTTCGTTGTTTCCCTTGGAAAACGGGGGAGAAGTATACACCACACCACCCCGACGTCGTCCCCGAATGTCCCCGACCCTCAAAAAGTCCTGGGATTGAAAGAGAGCCCGCCACTGGTAATGCAGATGTTCCAGCTTCCGACATGAGAAGAGACCAGGACCTCCGAGGCCCACGGGCGGAACAAAAAGCACAAAGTCGGGCGTTGCCAGAGAGGGAAGGGGCGGGGGGGCATCGACAGCTCACGCCGAGTGAAAGCTGCCCCTCGGCTCGTGCCTCGGAACATCTGTTTCGGGCCCCAGAACAATCGAACATGAGCTGGGGTGGAGAACCGACTGGTCGGTATCTTACGCGGAGGATGCAGGAGCGCAGCGAAGGCCCCCAGATAGCAAAAAAGGGCGCCCAAAGCTTGGAAGGGCGTGGATACTCCCCCTCCCCCCTCTCCCTCGAGGAGGGGAGGAGGAGGAGGTCTGGTAAGGTCAGGGCGGGGACGCTTGGAGAGTGTCTGGTGCTCTCCTGGAAGAGGAGGTGGACGGGCGACCGTACCACATGACATGTGCGTGCCAACCGCCCTCAGCACGAGTGCGCGCCAGTGAAAGGCAATGCACGAAATTGCTGGAGCCCACGAACCGTGGAGGATGCGGAGGATGGGGGGGGACTGGGGCAGGAGGAGGAGGAGGAGGAGGATAAAGACGAGGAGGGGGAGGAAGAGGCGGAGGGGGTCCCAACGTGTCCCAGCGCGGCGGGCAGCGGTGGTCTCCACAGCTCTCGATGCCCTCCAGCCTGGCAGGGCGGTAGAACTCCTCCTCGGGTGGCGGCTGTCGCGCTGGAGCCCGCGCCGATCTCGGCAGCGGCGGCGGCGGCGACCGAACCACATGACATGTTCCCCACTGTGCACACGGTGCAAGAAGCAAGCGCTGTGTCACGCAAGAGGTACAGCAAGTGATGCAACATCGGCAAGTTGTGTGCTGGCCTGGTGAGCTTGTCGGGTTCACGGCAAAGCGGCTTCGCGCGGTACTGGTACGGCAAGGAGGCCCGACCCAGATTATTCTTCAGCATCTCGCGCAGACAGAAGACCTAGTCTACGGACGCAGTTCAATCGCCCAGGCCTGCTGAGGCAACACTGGGAGAGGAGTTTGCCTAACTGGTGCCGATGGAGCCGACGCTGATCGCCACGCCACCGTCGCTCTCGACTAGTTTTCTTGCTGTGCTTCCCGACGGTTTCGAGACGTATTAGCGCCGATACCAAGGTCAGTCTGGGCTTGCGGAGCTTATGTGAGTAGCAATAGAAGGACCCCCAATCCTTTGAGAGGCGACCTAAGTTAGGAGGCCAAAAGTATAAGGGATATGAGATCTTCCCTGCAGGTGTATCAAAACAAACCGTCCATATCTATTGACAGTAATGCAAAGACGGGGACCTCAGTGAGGCCACGTCTTCACTATGTTATCAGAGTTAGAGGTTCTTTCAGCCTCGATGGTTACATATATGTGGATTCATTGTGTCGTCGGTATGAGGCATCATTGCGCCCTGGCACTTGTGTGCCAGCCCCGCCAGCGATAGCTTGCAACTTCGTGGGCATGCCTTCGCCATACCCACGAAGAAGACTTCGTGACAAACAACTTCAGAAGATAAGCCAAGCTGGGGCCTGTGATTCAACTGATCTGGCACGTGTGTCGACAAGATGGCTCGGACCCGAAGCCTCTAGAACTGTGTCTTCGACCATGCGTGATATTATTCCAGCCTGACTGGCCTGGGGCAAGAGTGATAAAGACAAGGAGAGCGAGAAGAAGACTGAACACGATAAGGAGACGGAGAAGACAGATGGGAAAAGGCATAGAAAGAAGCGGACGTGGACCAGGAGGGCGGAGGAAGGGGAGGCAGAGGAGGAGGAGGGAAATGGACGCATGAGAAGGAAGAAGAAGGAAGAGGATGATGAAGAAGGTTCCCCCTCGCCGAATCCCTCCACAATGCGTATGGCACAACAGCTTGAAGAAGACAGTACAAAGGATGACGGCGAGGATGAGGAGGACGAGAAGAAGGGCGACGAGAACGAGGACGAGGAAGACTCATGATCATGGACTGTTTCCCCACCTGAAAGAATGCGGCAAGCATCGCCCGGTCAGCAGGACCTGTGTGCCAGAATGCCCTGGCGGCACAGGAGTGCCAGCGCAGCCGACCAGCAGACAGCGAGCGAGCAGGACCAGAAGAAAAGCGAACACTGCCAAGATCACGACGGAGCAGAACGCGGGCGCGCAGAGCGAGGAGCAGAAGCAGAGCGCGTCGCCAGAATGCCCTGGCGGAGCACATGTGATGCCAGGACCCGGCGTCCGATTTCGGGAGCGGCCAAGAGGGGGGCGTCCACAAGAGGGGCGTGAGCGCAGCGTGGCCCGAGGCACGCGCCCGGCCCGGCGGCGGGCCAGGGAACGCAGTGGCATGAGAGGAGGCGCCGCGAAATCCGGGGAAATCTCGCGGCACACGCTTCGGTGGCAACTCATGGGAGCCTCCCATACCATCTCGTCGGCTCTTGCGAACCGACGCTAATCGACTCTAGCCGACGCTGATCGACGCCAAATCGACGCTGACCGACGCTGACTGACGCCAAACCGGCGTCCTCTCATCGACCCCCAGACGCTCATCGACGCGAACCGACGCGAAAGACGGCAGTGACAGGGTACACCAGGCTCCCATGACTTGCTACCGAAACACGCCATGATTCCCCCCCCCCCCCCTCCCCCCAGTCATCGCCCCCCTCTTGGCCGCCCAGTCATCGCCCCCCCCCCCCCAGTCATCATCATCCCCCCCCTCCCCCCAGTCAAGCCCCCCCCCTCCCCCCAGTCATCGCCCCCCCCCCCCTCCCCCCAGTCATCGCCCCCCTCTTGGCCGCCCCCGACGGTGCGGAGGCCCGGCCGAGCGCACACGGCCAGAAAAGCAGGCCCGCACCGGGCCCGACCGGCCGAGGGGCGGGGGTCCAGCGTCCCAGCCACGACGAGCAGGGGGAGGGGGGACAGCAGGAGGGGGGAGGGGGGAGGAGGAGGGGGGAGGGGGAGGGGGGAGGGGGAGGGGGAGGGAGGAGGGGGGAGGGAGGAGGGAGGACAAGAGAGAGAGGAGGAGCGGGAACGGGAGCGAGAGCAGGACGAGGTGGTGTTGTGGATGTCATGACGGTGAGCACCCTCACATTCCCTTCATTGAATCAAGCAGGTGTTTACATTGTCGGAGAAATGGCCCAAAAGTGTTTAAGACATGCTCAAACACATGTGTACTACATGTTCTAAAAATGTGTTAGACACCTGGGAATGATTTGGCAACATGCTTCCTCTCCAGTGATCGTCGTCCACAAAGGTGATGGCGCCAGGAGGTTGGAGGCAGGACACGGGACGGAGCAGGGATGGGAGAAGATGGGGGGAGGCAGAATGGAGACATGGAGGGGGGGGGAGAGGGAAGAAGGGCGAGAGCGGCAAGAGAAGAAAGGCAAGAGGGAGGAGTGGTGGGGGGGAGGATGGATGCGGTTAAGTAGGACTCCAGCGAGCAAGAAACTCGTCAACGCCGTAATACGGACGATGTGCACGCTGTTGATATTGGCTAAACGAAATGTTGCTTGACCACGGCAGCGCGAATGAGAGCATCCGCCTTGTTTCCATGCGAATGTGCTGCAGTGAACGCCTGGGCGAGCATGGTATGAAGGCAACACAATACGTATGACTTGAATGGCCATGCTCGCGGTGAAGAATTTGCCCGCCAAGGTAGCGAAGACACGCCGGGACCATGCGCATCCCAATTGGGTCCACCCTCCAGGGGAGGGAACTCGCGGGATGAGGTGGAGGGTGGGGGATGAGTGTGGGAGGAATCAGGGCCGAAGGAGGTGCAGGACAAGCGGAGAGGGTGGGGCGTGTGATTCCCCAGCACCAGTGCATCGTGCAGCGTTGAGGAAATGCTTGGAGTCGAAGCAGCAGATTCAGTCAATGATCGTGCGCGGGTGTCGTGGGGTGAGCTTCTGGCCAGGCAAACCTCGAGAGGCAGGGCGCTGGCGCTCGCTGTCAAGATTTGCAGCATGGGCTCTGCAGGTAAGTCGGGACTGCTCTTTCCCCCTGTTGACAACAGCGCTGGTAAGCAGCGCAAGCGTCTCCTGAACCCAAACGCCCTGTGTGCCTCGGAGTACGTTTGCCCTCCAGGGGGGCCAGCGCAAGCGAAAACGACACCTCACCGCTGAACAAGCCTCAAACCCGAGCCACTACATGAAAGTATGAGACTCGCACGACTGGCATCAGCTGGATTACGAGTTCCACTGCATGCAGCATGCCTTCTCCGCGCACAGCGAAGATGCTTGGCCGAGGGAAACGTAATACTTTCGCGCGCCGGGGTGCGGACCGTTGATGACGATTGCTGTTTTTGGCTCAGGAGGTGGAGCGGGAGACGGGAGGGGGTGGACGAGTAGGCGATGGGGAAGAACACGACGAGGGGGAGGAGGAGAAGGGGAGTGAGAGGAAGGGAAATTAATAGGGAGAGAATGAACTGAGCGAGGCAGAGAAGGCAGGAGGGATGAGCGGAATGATGCGGAGGCGGGGAACACCCAGGGAATATAATTCCCTTGGGGTCTTCTGAAGCCCGCTGGAACCTCCCCTCTCCACCCCAGACCCCAAGAACGTCCTCGTGGTCTCTCCTCCCCTACTCCTGGCTCTCCTTTCCTCCTCCTCCTCCTCCTCCTCCTCCTCCGCCTCCTCCTCCTGGCCCCATCATCCCAGCCCGCTCCTCCAAGCAAACCTTGCTCCTCCTTGACCCCCCATCGGGGGCCCCTGGCCGTCCACGTACTCTGGGAGGAGGGAGGCGAGGACCGAAGAAGCGAGGCATGGTCTGAGCCTGACGCCGCTGGACCAGCACGCCCGTGGCCTGCCGACTGAAACAACAAGCTGAACAAGCCTGGGGTTCTTATGACCCACTTGCTGCTGGTCATCCTTCTTTCCCACAGCTCCTCCTCCTCCTCCTCCTCCTCCTCCTCCTCCTCCTCCTCCTCCTCCTCCTCCTCCCCCTCCTGACTAATCCTGCTCCATCCCTCCACCCCCCACATCTGCCCCTTGTATCCCTTATCTTCATCCCCTTCCCATTTCCCCATCCTCTTCCACCTCCCGATCACCCTCTCCTCACTGCCCCTGCACCTCCTTCTTGTCCCCCCCCTGCTTCTTCTCCTGCCTCCGGGGCTCGAGCGTCGGTGCCAAGACGTCCACCCACCGCCGCCGCTCTGCTCAGAGACCACCAGCTCGCCACAGGAGCTGGCTTTATGCCAGGCCATGGGGGTATGCCGCGGGGCGGGGAGTCGGCAAGGCGCGAGGATCGAACGCAAATGGGCAACAACAGCCGCCGCAGGCGCCAACCGTTTGCAAGACACGGTGGGTGGGCCGCGGTCAGATCGTCGGCAGGTCGCGAGGCTCGAAAGCAGAGGGGTGAGGGAGCCCGCCGCAACCGCCGACTCTACTTTGTCAACACGACCAGCCCGCCGCTGGCGCATACAGTCGGGGCCCTGAAGAAGGAACCCTTTTCGTTGGGGAGGGGCTCGGTGTTCCTTGATTGTTCTGCAGTTTGCCTTCTGTTTTCCTTAGGTTTTCCATGGGAAATCGAAGTTCAACTTATGGGAAAAACGGGCCTCGTTCCTTATTTAGGGTTCCTTAGGTCAACGCCCCGACTGTATGTCGGCCGCAGAATGGTCGCGGAAGTGGGTCGCGGGTCGACGGAACGGAAAGGTGAGATTGGGACATAATCGGGGCCTCTAGGAAAGGGAAATGTGAGCATCCACTGGGGCTCGTTCCCTGACCCCCCTTTGGGACAACCCCCCTCTACGAACCCCCGGGGATGTGGGTCGCGAGTGGCTCGCGTAGAGGTCGCGGGTTGGGTCACGGGTCCGGGGGAGGCCGGGGAGCCCAGAAGTGGAGGGAGGGAAGGGGGAGGGGGAGGAGAGGGAGGGGGAGGGGGGGAGGACGGGGAGAGGGAGGACGAGGAGGAGGAGGAGGAGGAGGAGGAGGAGGAGGAAGAGGAAGAGGAGGGAGGAGGAGAAGGAGGAGGAGGAGGTGGACCAATGTAAAACCAAGACTCATCAACGATGTCGGAATAAACCCTCCCTCCAGGCTCCCCCTGCATAGGCCCCTACAGAGATTCATTTCCACTCAGGGAAGTGCCCCGTTTGGAGACAACCGTTTGAAGATTCTGAAGCATGCCAAAACACCGTTCTCGGGACGCCAACGCCACGAATCATCCTGACTGTTGCGCTTTCACGATCCTGAATCGTGCGCGCCGCTCCTGGAATCTTACCACCACGAGTCAACGTAGTTGTTGCGACTTGGCAATCCCGAATCCTTCCGCAACGCCGTGTCTGGTACGCTGGCCATGGGAATCCGTGAAGCTCTTGCACATGTTCTAGACGAATGTGCACGACGCAAAGGCGAGAACCCCATTTCGAAAAAGAACCGCCCTCAATATGTGAAGCTCTTGTAGTGTGTTTAGAACGAATGTGTGCGGCGCTTAGGCGAGAGCCACATGTTGAGAACGACCCGTCCCCAGTCAGTGAAACTCTTGCATGGTTGAAAACGAATGTGCGCGGCGCTGAGGCGAGAGCCACATTCTGAAAACGACCCGCCCTCAATCCGCGAAGCTCTTGCAAATCTTTAAGACGAGTGTGCGCGGCACTAAAGCGAGAGCCACATGTTGAAAACGACTCGCCCTCAATCCGTGAAACTCTTGCAACTGTTTAAAGCGAGTGTGCGCGGCGCTAAAGCGAGAGCCACATGTTGAAAACGACTCGCCCTCAATCCGTGAAGCTCTTGCAACTGTTCAAAGCGAGTGTGCGCGGCGCGAAAGCGAAAGCCACATTTTGAAAATCACCCGCCCGCCATGTGTGACAGTGCTGCCAACTTTTAAGCTCCAGGTTCATAAAACAAATCTCCGGCGAAACGCCCGGCCCGCCCTTCCGACGGGGCCTCGGAGCGCTACAAGGAGGGGGAGGAGGAGGAGGAGGAGGAGGAGGAGGAGGAGGAGGAGGAGGAGGAGGAGGAGGAGGAGGAGAAGGAGGAGGAGGAGGAGGAGGAGGGGAGGAGGAGGAGAAGGGGGAGGAAGAAAGGAGGAGGAGGGAGAGGAGGAACGGCTCGACCTGCCGCGGGTGGCTCGCGGAAAGGTCACGGGTGGACCGCGGGCAGGTCGGGAGCAAGTCACGGGGCGAGACGGCGGCAAGACAAGACAACGGTAACCTGGACAACGGAACCCGGAACCTACCTCACTTCAGCAGGAGGAGGAAGGGAGGAGGAGGAGGAGGAGGAGGAGGAGGAGGAGGAGGAGGAGGACGAGGACGAGGAGGAGGAGAGCGAGGGGCGGAGGGGAGGAGGAGGAGGAGGAGGAGGAGGAGGAGAAGGAGGAGGAGGAGGAGGAGGAGGAGAGGAGGACGAGCAGGAGGGGGAGAACGAGGAGGACGAGGAGGAGGAGGAGGAGCTCCAGGCACGATGCAGGTCTGGGTGGTTTGAGCGTGTTTTCCAACGAAGCATCGCATGTTATCTTTTGTAATTTGCCATGCAAGGAATCGATGTGCAATCGACTCAAGAAGAAAAAAAACAGCCATTCACTCAAATGACACAAATGGAATACTTCCGCAAGCCAATCCTTTGACTGCGGAGTGCCGAATTCAAATTCCTTTTACGGCGGACTGCAAAAGGATTCCCGTTGCGGCGGAACACAACAAGCATTCCCTGTTTGCCAGAATGCAACAGCATTCCTCTTGTGGCACAATTCAGAGAGAATCCTTCCGCGGAAAATTACAATAGGTTTCTCTTGAGCCAGAATACAAGAGGAATCCTCTTGTGACCGAAAACAACTGAAAAAGGATTCCTTTTGTGGTGGGATACTCAGGCATTCCTTCTGTGGTGGATTACTAAAGGATTCCTCTTTTGGCAGAATACACATGGAACCCTTCTGTGGTCGATTACCAAGGGATTCCGTTTTGACGGGATTGAAAGGAAATCCATTATGGCCGAATGCAACAGGGTTCCCCTTGTGGCGGGATACAAACGTATTCCCTTTGTGGCCGAGTACTAAAAACGGTTCTTGGTGGGGGTATACGAAAGAATTCCGCCCTGGGATGGGTTACTCAACGGTATTCCTTTTGTGGCAGAGTACACAAATAATCCTTCTGCGGTTGATTCGCATGGGATTCCGTATGCGGCGGAATGCAAAGGGAATCCTTTTGTGGCCGAAACCAAAAGGCCCCCCTTTGTGGCGGAATACAGAGGGATTATTGTTGAGATGGGTTACTAAGAAGTTCCTTGTGTTGCAGAATGCAAGAGGAACCCTTCTGTGATTGATTACCAAGGTGTTTCTTATGTGGCGGAATACAGAAGGCAATCCCTATGTGGCCGAGTACGAGAGGATCCCCCTGGTGGCGGAATACAAAACGATTCTCTGTATGGGATTTCTCCTGCGGCGGAAAACGAAGGGACTTCTTGTGTGGTGGATTACAAAGGAAACCCTTTTGTGGCGGAGTACACAAGAATTCGTTCTACGGCGGAAGACCACAGGATTCCCTGTGTGAGCGAACACCGCTGACAATCGAATAGAAAAACCTAAGAAAACACAACACAAACCATACGAAACAAACATGATGTCGGGAAACTGTCCTTGGATCATCGCCGCATTTCTGCCGAAATCATAACCTGCTCTGTTTCGTCAGCGCTTTTCGCTCACAACGGGATTCATGTTGTGTTCCGCCTCAGAAGGAATCGCTCTGCATTCCGCCGCAAAAGGATCCCCTGTTCATTCAGCTACACAAGGTATCCTTGTGTGTTCTAAGGAATCCTCTTGCATAATCCGTTTGTATTCGGCCACAAGGGAAATCCTCGTGTATTCCGCCGCAAAGGGGGATCCTTTCACAAAAGGAATCCTTTCGTACTCAGCCGCAAAAGCAATCGATTTGCATTCCGCCGCAAAAAGAATTTGCGCACTACAAGAGCATTCCGTTTGTGGTGGGGTACTAGGTGATACATTTGAACGGAATGGAAGTTTCCTTTTTTAGTGGGATACATCGTTTCCTCGTGCGGCGGATTACAAAGCAATATCGTTCGTTAGTTCTTTGAAAAGACTGCTCGAACCGCCGAGTCATGCATCGTGCCTGGTGCGCGAGGAGGGAGAGGAGGAGAAGGAGGAGGAGGAGGAGGAGCACCATGGGACGGTGTATGACAGGTCGGCCCCCTCGCTCCGAGCATTGCCCCACAATCTCGACCCACGCCTCCTCCCTCGCATCAGACTCTTCCTCATTCCTGTCCTCACTGGTACGCACCTCTCCTCGTCTTCCTCCTACGAGGGAGGAGCTGAATCGAAAAATTCCAGGCGCAAGGGAGAGGCGAAGATTGCCTATTCAAACGGTAGTCCACAGAACACACCATGGACCAAATCAAGACGCGCGGCCAAAGATCTGGGAGCGAAGCGCGGCAGAAGAAGGAAGATATTCAGAGAGACTGAGAGAGATAGAGAGAGGGAGAGATAGAGAGAGAGAGGGAGGGAGAGAGGGATGGAGAAACTGCTTGTATGCAGCTGGTGAGATCTCCTCCCCCCCCCCAGCCTGTCCATCTCCTCCTCCGCCTCCTTGCCTTGCCTGGGACCGCGCGCGGCTGTCCGACAGGCGTGAGCTTGTCGTATATTTGTGCCTCCGGGAGCGGCTTCACCAGCCCGCGGACTGGCAAGCCTGGAGCACCCCAGAGATGTCGGTCTCCTCCGCGCACCCGTCGGCGTCGACGGAGGTCATCAGCGACTCCTCCCGGGGCCCCGAAAAACCTTGAGGCGACAGGCCGTTCGACGACCTCGAGGCTCCCCAGTCGTCAGAAGCATCCTCTGAGAACCTCCCCAGTCCCCAAACCGCCCGCCCACCCTAGATATCACCTCTCTTGCATCACCAGACGATGCGGTCACCACACTCTCCGAGACTTAAGCCGGATTGTTGTTCCTGAGCCTCCGCTGGGTTCCCGTTTTGAAATACAGTCGGACCTAGGACTGAGGAAGGTCCTTCAAGAACATGAGACCCTTCGCCAGCCCAAACTGAAGAACATTCGAGGGTGCCCTCCCCCAGGATGCACAATAACGTCCAACAAACACGACGAACATTAGGGTAACCTCCCCGAACCGACCTCGATCTTATACCTCGGTCCGACAGTAGAACATCATCGCGGGCGCGTCTATCCCTCCGCCTCCCTACTTACTCCTCTCTTCTTCTCTCTCCTGCTTCCTACTTCCGGCCTGCCTCTACATGCATGCCTCCTCCTGTCTTCCTCCTACCTCGTCGTCCAGCCTGCGACCCCTAGGAAGCTGCGAACTGCGAAACTTCCACCACCTTCAAAGGCTGATGGGTGGTCCCGCATAGTGAGTGGCCTCTGCAAATCCAGATGAGACCCCGCCATACCTTGAGAATTCGACCTCACCATCCCTGTGGGGCTGTGATCTGCGAAACCCCTGCCACGCTCGAAGGCTGCTGGGGAGTCCAGCATGGTTTGAGGCCTCCGAAGATCCAGATTAGACCTCGCAATCCCCGGGGGGGGGGCTGGGAAGTGTGACACTGTCGCCACTTTCGAAGGCTGCTGCGGTGGATGGCCTCCGTAGGTCCAGATTAGACCTCGCCGTCCCTGGCGGCTGCGATCTGCGAAATCTGACGTAATGTTCGAATGGCTGCCAGGGGAGCCAGCATAATAGATGGCCTCTGAAGATCCAGATTAGACCTCGCCATCCCTGGGGGGCAATATGCGAAGCTGTCGCCACTTTCGACGGCTGCTGGGGCTCCAACATAGTGGGCGGCCTCCGCAGGTGATGAGACCTCGCTGCACTTGGGGGGCTGCGAAGTGTGAAACTGTCGCCACTTTAGAGAGCTGCTGAGGGTCCACCATCCTGGGTGGGTGGCCTCCGCAGATCTAGTCGGGCTGCAATCTGCGAAACTGTCGCCACTTTTGAGGGCTGCTATGGGGGGGGGGTCTAGCAGAGTAAAAGGCCTCCGCAGATGCATATCAAACCTCGCCATCCCTCGGGGCTGCGAGGAGCGAACCTGTCGCCACTTTCGAGGGCTGCTGCGGGGTCCGCCCAGATTAGACCTCGCCATCCCTGGGGGGCTGCGATGTGCAAACCTGTCCCACCTTCGAGGGCTGCTGGAGGGTCCACCATGGTGGGTGGCATCCGCAAGTTCAGATTAGACCTCGCCATCCCTGGGTGGCCGCGTAGCGTGAGACTGTCGCCACTTTCGAAGGCAACTGGGGGGTCCAGCATAATCGGTGGGTGGCTTCCGCATATCTAGATGAGACCTCGACTTCCCTGGCGGGGTGGCTGCGAAGTGTGAAACGGTCGCCAATTTTGAAGAAAGCTGGGGGGTCCACCATAATGAGTGGCCTCCTCCGCAGATCCGGATTAGACCTCGCCGTCCCTTGGGGGCCAGGCACTGCGAAACTGTCGCCACCTTCGACGGCTGCTGCGGGGTCTAGCATGGTGGGTGGCCCCTCCGGATCCAGATGGGACCTCGCTGTCCGTGGGGGGCAGCGCAGTGCGAAACCGCCACTTTTGAGGGCTGCTGAGGTCTCCAGCATACTGGCTGGCCTCAGGAGATGCAGATGAGACTTCGCCATTCCGGGGGGGGGGGGCTGCGCAGCGGGAAACCCCTGCAACTCTCCAAGGCTGCTGGGGAGTCCAGCATGCTGGATGGCCTCCGACCTACTGCAAGACGGTTCCCACTTTCGAGGGCTGCTTCGGGGTTCAGCATAGTGGATATCGAGCGGAGACTCGGATTAGACCTCGTCATGCTTGGGGGGTGCGAACTGCAAAATTGTCGCCACTTTCGACGGCTCCGGCGGGGAACACCGTGGTGGGTACCGAGCGGGGACTCATATTAGACCTCGTCATCCTTGGGGGGGCTGCGGTGTGCGAAACTGTCACCACCTTCGATGGCTGCTGAAGGGGGCACCGCCTTCGAGGGCTGCTGGAAGGGACACCGTAGTGGGTGCCGAGAGGGAACTCAGATTAGACCTCGCCATCCCTGGGGGGGGGGCTGCAAACCGCGAAACTTTCGCCATTTTCCAAGGATGCTGGAGGGGCATCCTGGTAGGCACCGAACGAAGACTCGGATTAGACCTCGCCATGTTTGGGCGGGCGCGGACCGGGCTGCTCTGGGGACCAGCATAGCGGGTACCGAGCAGAAACTCACATTAGACCTCGCCATGCCTGGGGCGGGCTGCGAGCTTCGAAACTGTCACCACTTTCGAAGGCTGCTGGGGGGGGGCAGCACGGTGGGTACCGAGCGGGGACTCGGATCAGACCTCGCCATGCCTGGGGGGCTGCTACCTGCGAAACTGTCGCCACTTTCGATGGCTGCTGGGGGAGGCAGTGTTTATCAAGCGTGGACTCAGATTAGACCTTGTCATGCCTGGGCGGGCTGGGACCTGCGAAACCGCTGCCACGCTCGAGAGCATCGTGGGGGACTCAGACTAGACCTCGTCATGCTTGGGGGGTCTGCAAACTGTAAACTGTCGCCGCAATCGAATTCTCATCGGGAGGGCCAGCGGAATGACGTCGTAGGAGGACCCAGACTGGACCTCGCCATCCCTGGGGGCTGCCAAGGGCGAAGCTGTGGCCACTTTCGACGGCTGCTAGGGGGGTCCAGCAGAGTGACGCATTATTCAAACCAGTAACCAAAATGAAGTCTCTCGTTCGCTGCTCCACTCTGCTTCCACGCTCCCGCCTCTCTCCTGCACCTCCCCCGTGTGGTTCTGCGTTCTGCATCCGTCCGGGTGGTGTAGCGCGTGAGTCGCCCCTCCACCTCTCACAACTGATCGGGCTCCTTGCCATGCCACCACCCGTAGTGATGTGGCCCCTTGCTCTCGCCACTTCGTGAAAATGAGTTGGGTACGTCGCAAGGTAGCGTCAGCCTGCGGGTCCCAGCAGGCTTGACCCCTCCTGGGGGGGGGGGGGGGGCGAGCCTCCTCCTCCTCCTCCTCCTCCTCCTCCTCCTCGTCCTCCTCCTCCTCCTCTTCGTCCTCCTCGTCCTCCTCCTCCTCCTCCTGGGCCTCCTCCTCCTCTTCCTCCTCCTGGGCCTCCTCGTGCTCCTTCTCCTTCCCCTCCTCCTCCTCCTCTTCCTCCTTCTCCTCCTCCTGGTCCTACTGCTCCTCTCCAGGGGCCCCGCCCCCCCGACTCCATCAGCGACAGGAAGCCCAGGTCCGGCACCAGTGACTCCGGGCCGAACACCTCCTGGGCCTCGGGGATCTGCTGCGGGACGCACATGGACATACTAGTACTATATGTCCTCCTTGGAGGCGCGCGTCCGACCCGAACGTATAGTATACCCATCTTGTAGTATATCGTTTCCCGAGCGGTGTGGCCAGAAAGCGCCCGCCACGACGCATATACTACAAGATTTCTCGGTGCGCGCGTCGCCCCTGGGGGGGCGACGAACACATAGTATAAGTATGTTGGGGGGATGCCGATGCTGACCCGGGACAATCCATACCCACCCGGGGTCAGTCGGGCCTTGCATGAACCTGCAAGATCCCCAAACCCTCGACGTCGCGATTTTTTCACAACGTCGACCCCCAGAGGTCTGGACCCTTTCCATGGGACCGCTCTTTCATCCTGAGTCGTTTTTTTTGACGGTCCCGAGGCTCCGTAAGGGCCCCCAGAAGCCGAACATCGCGAAACAAAATCTTTCGGGATTTGTTCACAGCGCGAGGTGGTCTGGATCCTGCAGGATCTGGCGTTCCGACGGACCCCCGCGATGGCATTGACCTTAGGTCGGGCGTGTCCCCCTACAGGCGGATTTTAGACGAAAAATGAAAAATAATCAAACAATGCTCAAAAATAGTCAGAAAAAATACTCATAAATCGTCCCCTGACGATTTTTTCCCTATATCCTAAGATGGGGTTCTTGTTATTACTTGGACGCCTCCTACTCCTCCTTCTCCCTCCTCCTCCTCTTTTCTCCTCCCCTCCTGTGGGGCTTACTCATACTCCCACTTGCTCATACACAGACTTACTCATACTACTCACACCCAGACGTACTCATACACAGACTCACTCATACCCAGACTTACTCATACACAGTATTAGTCATACTCAGACTTACTCATACCCAGACGTACACATACACAGACTTTCTCATACACAGACCTACTCATACCCAGACTTACTCATACACAGACTTACTCATACACAGACTTACTCATACTCAGCACCCCTAAGGGGAGCCGCCAGGGGTGGTTGCACGGGCTCGTTCGCGGCCATTTTGTGGGGATGTCTCAGGCGGTTTGCCTGTTTCTGGGCCCAACATCCTTCGCTTGGAGAGCAGATTGTGAGGATGTCTCAGGCGGGGCGCTGGTTTCAGCACCCCTAAGGGGAGCGCCAGGGGTGGTTGCACGGGCTCGTTCGCGGCCATTTTGTGGGGATGTCTCAGGCGGTTTGCTTGTTTCTGGGCCCAACATCCTTCGCTTGGAGAGCAGATTGTGAGGATGTCTCAGGCGGGGCGCTGGTTTCAGCACCCCTAAGGGGAGCCGCCAGGGGTGGTTGCACGGGCTCGTTCGCGACCATTTTGTGGGGATGTCTCAGGCGGTTTGCTTGTTTCTGGGCCCAACATCCTTCGCTTTCGGGGCAGATTTGGAGGATGTCTCGAGCGAGGCGCTCATTTTCACCCCCCAGGTGGGCCAGATTTTGAGGATGTCTCGATCGGTTTGCTTGTTTTGGTGGCCAGGCTCGTGGGCGCAGATTCTTCTCAGGATGCCACAGGAGGCTCCAACAGGCTCCAGGAGGCCCCAGGAGACCACATGAGGTCCCAGGAGGCATCAGGAGGCCACAGAAAGACTCAAGAGGCCACAGGATGTCCCAAGAGGCTCCAGGAGGCCCCAGGAAGCTCCAGAAGGCCTCAGGAAACCACAGGAGGCCCCAGGAGGCAACAGGAAGCGCCAGGAGGCCTCGGAAGGCAACAGGAGGCCCCGAGAGGCCCCAGGAGCAGGAGGCCTCAGAAGGCAACAGGAGTGGCTCCAATCCCATGTGTTTTACGTATGCTCCTATCGATTGGGCCTCACCTGGAGCACGATTCTTTGATGTTCTACGTATGTTTCTGTAGATGGTCCTTCTCCTGTGTACACAATCCTAAATGTTTTACTCATGTTCCTATGTATTGGGCCTCTCCTGGGGCACGAGTCCTTGGTGTTTTACGCGTGTTCCTATAGATTGCCCTTCTCCTGTGGCTCTAATCCGCAATGTTTTATGTACGTCTGTTGCTATAGATTGCGCCTCTCCTGGGGCACGAAACCTTCCTAGGAGGTCCCAGGAGGTCCCAAGAGGCTCCTGGAGACCCCAGGAAGCCCCAGTAGGTTTCAGGAGGCCCCAGGAGGCCCCAGGCTCATGCACAGAGACGCGCTCGTACTACTGAGGCTCACTCACACTCCAATTCATTCGCAGTCAGATTGATGTCCAGACCGTCACAACTGAAGCCCGTTAATATTCGAAAGCTCTTGCGCCTACACATTCACGGCGGACAGGTCCGTGCGAGTAGATGCACATAACGGGGAGCTCCACGCAGTGAATAACTTACTATTTCTGAATACTCCTCATGTAGAGGGACAGGCCCGACTTGACATTGGCCCCCGTCTCGAGCCCCCCGCGAGAGCCTCTGGCGCCGCGGGCGCCGGCTCCACCGCGGGCTCCTCCCTGCGGGCGGCCCCGAGCTCCGCGGACAGCCACGGGGACCCCAGTGCCTCCGGGGGGGATCGCACGTGGACAAGAGACTCGAACCCTGCGGCGCGAGATGCCATCCTCCTCCTCCTCCTCCTCCTCCTCCTCCTTCTCCTCCTCCTCCTCCTCCTCGTCCTCCTCCTCGTCCTCCTCCTCGTCCTCCTTCTCGTCCTCTTCCCAGACCGCCCAAACGAATCAGAGCGAGTGGACCAGAAAACAAACGACACCACCCTACCTACCCCGCGGGCCGTAGCGTATACCAGGACGTCTGGCGTGGACTTCTGCGTGGTGTACGCCACGGCGCCCGATGGGCCGTATCGCAGCATGGAGGGCCGTAGGTGGGGTGGTGTCGTTTGTTTTTGGCCAGATGATTCGGAGTGAGGGGGTCGAGCGGTCTTTCGCTGTCCCTGGGCGCGTGGCCGCAGTGAGGTTGTGCGGTGCGGATTGTTGTTGCTGTCTGCTGTTTGTTCTTGGTTGACGTCGCCCCCCCCCCCCCCCCGCGACCCGGCCCGCGCCCGAGCCGCGACCCACCCGCGACCTGGCCCGCGACCCACCCGCGACCCCCCCAAACAACCCATCAATATTGAGGGCGCGGCGCTGGAGAGGGCCTGGAGGGACAAAAAGATCCGAACCCCCAAACCATCACCCATGCTGAAATCAGCACTGATCTCGGGGACTGGGGGGTGATGAGCATCCCCCTCGAGTGTGAAGGAGGAGGAGGAGGAGGAGGAGGAGGAGGAGGAGGAGGAGGAGGAGGAGGAGGAGGAGGAGGAGGGTTCGAATCTTTGCTGCCCACGTGCTGGAGAAATCTCGGCTCCGGGCGACGCGTGCAGACTGTGACCCAGATCTCTGGCGATGCGAGTTGTGCAAGTCGGGGGCGGCCAAGAGGGGGGCGGCCAGGAGGAGGGGGGGCGCAGATCATGGTCGGCGGCAGGTGCGCGGCCCAGGGGGGGGGCATGCACGTAATGTGAAGTCTGGCGTGTCCCCCTACAGGGGGATTTTAAACGAAGAATAAAACATGCGCAAAGAATACTCCCCAAATGCTCAAAAATAATATTAAAAAAAATCGTCTCCAGACTATTTTTTGAACTATTTTTGAATACTCCTCCTGTAGAGGGACAGGCCCGACTTAAACGTAATGAACTGAGAAGAGGCGCTGTGAAATCTGGGGAGATATCATGGCCCCCGCCATGACATCCCCCCCCCCTAGTCATCACCCCCCTCCTGGCCGCCCCCGATGCCATTCAGGTGTAGTCGGGCCTCGGGACGACGAAACATCGGCCAGGGGCGAGAAGCTGCCCCCGAGAAAAAAGGTCCGGGCCCATTTGAGGCCTCGCATAGGGATGCAGGCTAGCCAGCGTGGACACCAAACAAGAATGCCTTGCAATGTAAATGCGGCACAACCTACGTGGCGCAATCAATGTGGCGGAATCTAGGTGGTGCACTCCATGTGATACAATAATGTGTGTGGTGCCACGAATGCAACGAAATACGAAGCAATTCAAACCAATGCAACGCAATGCAAAGCAATGCGGAGCAATGCGGAGCAATGCAAGCAACGCGAAGCAATGCGAAGCAATGCAAAGCAATGCAAAGCAATGCAAAGCAATGCAAAGCAATGCAAAGCAATGCAAACAATGCACGCACATGCAAAACACTGCAAAGCAATGCGAAGTATTGTAACGCTTTGCAGCGGAATGCAAAGCGACGCAAAGCAATGCGACGCAATGCATCTCAATGCGACGCAATGCAACGCAATGCAACGCAATACAAAGCAACGCAAAACAATGCAAAGTTTTCAGATCAACGCAGAGCAATGCGAAGAGCAGTGCAAAACAATGGCAGAGCAGTGCAACGCAGTGCAAAGCAATGCAGATCGACGCAAAGCACTGCAGAGCAGTACAGAGCAGCACAAAGCCATGCAACCCAATGCAAAGCAACGCGGCGACTGGCGGCGACGAGCCGGTTGGACCGCCACTGGGGTCCAACAGCGACGGCGGCGACGGGCGGCAGCGAGCCGGCCGGGCCGCCACCGGGGCCCAGCGGCAACGGCGGCGACGGGCGGCGACGAGCCGACTAGACCGACACCGGGGCCCACTTGCCTTAGGACACACGTGAGAACCCTTAAGTGCCAGCACAGCTTTGGGGACATCGTGGAATGTCTGGGGGCGGCCGATGTTTTGTAGTTCTCGGGCTCTCGAAACCGTTTCCTGGCCCTGGGGCCGTCAAGGCCGGCCGTAAGGAAGGGGTCGAGATTCCCAGGGTCCACGTCGCAACAAAGAATGCGACGTCGGATGAGCAACCACGCAAAAAAGCAAAGATGCAGCCCCCAGGAGTCTCGGAATGAGTTGCTGCTGGCCCTCAGACACCTCGGCACTGGACCCTGAGGGGCGGGGCGACGAAATTCACCGGAAGCGTCAAAGCTAAAGCGATGCGGGAGGAGGAGGAGGAGAAGGAAGAGGAGGAGAGGAGGAGGAGGAGGAGGAGGAGGAGGAGGAGGAGGAGGAGGAGGGTGAGGACCAGTGCAAACCAAAGCCTCATCAAAGGATGTTGGAAGAAAACCTCCCTCCGAGCTCCCTCTTCATAGGCCCATGCAAGGGTTAATTTCCATTGACGGAACTTCACCGCCTCATTAGGAAACAATCATTTGAAGGCCCTGAAGCATTCCCAAAACCATCCCTGGGACTGCAACGCCACGAATCAACGTGACAGTTGCGCCTTGACGATCCTGAATCCTGCCAGATCATCACTCCTGGGACTTCAACACCGCGAATCAACGTAACTTTTGCGACTTCACAATCCTGAGTTCTGTCAGGAAATACCATGTCTGGCACGTTGACAATGGGAACCCGTGAAAGTTCTTCTAATGTTTAAGACGAATGTGCACGGTGAGAAGACGAGAACCACATTGTGAAGAAAAAATCGCCCTCAATCCGCAAATCGCTTGCAATACTCTAAGACGAATGCGCGTGGCGCAAGGGCGAAGGCTGTATTTTGAAAACGACCCGCCCATTACCCGTGACATTTCTGTAAATTGTTTAAACAAGTGCGCGCGGCGCTAGGGCGAGAACCACCATTTGAAAAAAAACGCCCTCAATCCGTGAAGTTCTTACCAAACATGAAGCAAATGTGCGCGGCGCGATAGCGAAAACCACATGTTGAAGAAAAAGGGGCCCGCCCTCAATCCGCGAAGCCCTTCTACTTTGTTTGAACGAACGCGCGTGGAGCTGAGGCGAGAGCCACGCTTTGAAAACCGCGTCCCCTCAATCCGTGAAGTTTGCGCAAACGTTTAGAACAAATGTGCGCGGCGCTAGGCTGAGAGCCACACGTTGAAAACCACCCCCCTCCATTTCTGTAGTGGCTCCAACCTTTCAGATTCAGGGCCGTCGGTGTGAGGAAGGCTCAGGCGAAATGCCCGGCCCGCCCACTCGACAGGCCTCGGGGTGCGACAGGAAATAATCATTCATAACGAGGAATGGAGGAGGAATGGAGAAGGAATGGAGGAGGAGGAGGAGGAGGAGGAGGAGGAGGAGGAGGAGGAGGAGGAGGAAAAGGGGGAGAGAAGGGATGTGGAGGATATCGATCGACTCTGCAGAGTGGCGCCGTCCGTTCGAACTACCTCTGGCTACGGCAAACCGGCCCCCCTTTAGAGTGCGCTTTGGCTCCTGCAAGGGGGGCCAAGTTTGGCCCCCATACCTCGGCTAGTTTGCCACGGTCGAAAGACGACAGGCCGTAGGGTGTGGCACGGGGGGGGCGCGGGGCGGAAAAAGAAATGGGACAGAGGCCCTATCGGGCAGGACAACGCTGAAGATCACAAACCCCTTGAGGACGTGAGGGACCAGGGCTACGAAACGTTAAAGCGCAGGCAGAGACCTACACCAGTAAATCCAAGGGGGAACGACAAACTTACTGGCATCTACTGCGGAGCCCCAGGAGGTCAGGATCTGCGAGAGGGGGAGAGAATTCTTAGAGGACGAGAGGGCTCCGCAACCCATGCTCGGCTCACTAGGGGGCTCATCTCCTCTGGGGAACTGGCGGAGAAATCGACGTAGTCGTGGACCTAGGCGTCCTAGGCGATGTCCTCTGAACTGTTCTCGGTGGTCCCGAAACTCTGGTGGCCCCTGCAACCGATGAAAAACTCCGCTCCACTCTCGAACTCCTCGCGGCATGGCATCCAGATGCGCCTGGACAAGGCGCCCAGTGTGAGTCCTCGGCGGCGTGCCGTGTTTGTGCACGCCCTCCAGCTGCACCAGGGAAGAGCCACTGTGTTCTCGAGATCTGGCGGGTCCACTGCAAACCATATCTTGACTTTATCGCCTGCGCGCGTCGTTTGCATCTTGCAATGCCCGATCCCGTCCGCGATCGCATGATTCGAAACGCGCTACTGCTTGATTCTTTGTTGCGTTGGCACTGCGTGACCTTGGCTACGTTCTGCTGACCTATCTACTCGCCCTGAGCGACCTGCGCGCCGATGAGGTCCACCCATGCGGGCGGACGCGGGATGCCCAACAGCTCCATGTCTGGCATCTGCTGGCCGGCCTCGATTTGGTCCTTCTTGTCCTTCCTGAGCCTCGCCGCCTCGGTGCTGTAGTACTTCGCGGTGGGCCACGTAGACTGGGCGACGTCGTGCATGGCCAGCATCTGCGCGCGCCTGCACATGGCTGCCTCGAGACGCACGAGCCCTCGCTCGCATCGTAGCGCCATGCGCGCCACCGCTGGGAAGACCGCCACCGCCCATGCTATCGGCGCGCGGCCCGGGCCCCCAACGCCCTGTCGCGCCGGGCCGAAGAGCGCGTCCGTAGCGCCCCGCGCTGACTGCGGTGGGCCTTGACCTCCTCCTCGTTTCTGCCAGTTGAAGTGCAGGGCGATGCCGTTGGTCCTGTCGGCGCGCTGGTCTCCTCGGCCCTTCTCTCTGGCGGCTGCGAATGAGGTCTCCTTTCCTGCGCCGGCGCTCTCGAGGCCCTCGCGGCCGCCGTCCTGCCCCAACGCTCGAGGCGCGACCCGCTAATGTTGACGTCGAAAT